AGCTAATATAAAGATAAACACCCATAAACATTAATACCACTGCTATATCTGTATCCCCACACACCATCTTTCATTGCCATCATTTTGATTAACACACAACTATATCAATTATATTTTTATGGTCATAATAAACCATTTATCTTACTTCCCTTGTATATTAGTTTGTATGTACATTATTACTTATATCACCACATTGTCATACTTAACATTTTCACTATTACCTTATGATTTATTTTTTTAATATTTTGAAATTATGATTTTTTATGATTTATAGTTGAGTCATTATACTAGTTATTAAATTCGTTACATATAAGGTGTTTATGTATAATATCTTCTTCCACCTTGTTGCTCTTCTTACCTATTCCCCCCTCATCACTTCTTTTCTGTTCTACATTCCTCTTTATACAACACTTCTCCCCCCTTTTACAACCACCATTCTTGTTTCCTCCTCTTTTCATTCCAATCAACGATTCTTTGCCACACCCCTTCCCCCTCCACCACCTTCTTCTCCTTTATTTTCACACACCAACATCACCTCCCATTTCCTACCCCTCCCCTCCCAGCTTCCATATTTCATTTTTTTCCTGATATCTTCCTCCTTTTCTTCCCTGTCATTTCCCTCTTCTCTCTCCCTCTTTTTCCTTCATCACCTTCTCTCCTTTCTGCTTCTCACCCCTGTCATACTCTATCTCTGTACACACCTCCCCACCTGCTTTACATTCACCAGCCCCCTCCCCCTCCACCGACTCCTTATAACACACACATCTTTTTTTATCTTTTTTGTTCCTCCTTCCATACTCATATTTTTGACCACCAAACAGCCAATCCAAAAAAAATCAAAACATTATTTCAAACCCACTTCCCCATTCAAAATAAAAATAAGAAACACACACAACCTCACCCTTACTTCCCACCATATAACATCTCTTCCCACTCCCAATTTATTAATAAGTAATCAATGCCATCAATCTCAAGAATCATCCACAAACAACCATACAATGCCGTCTATTCCGTCCTCTCTTACAAAAAGGTTCTCCCTTAATTTTCCATCACTTCTTTCAAAAACCCCAAAGCACAACAAAAACACCCTCTGTGCTCCTGTTCCTGTCCTTCCTCACTGCTCACGCAAACTTCCTTCCTTCCACCTCAGCTAGGTTTTCTTCAACTCCTCGTTATAATAATATGTAATTCCATTGTTTTGTTGTTTTACAACAATAATCTGCCTTAACTAATACATTTCCTTTTTCATTTTGTAAACATTTTTCATTTTAGCTTTTTTTTTTTTTTATCTTAATTTTGAAATTGTAACTTATAAATCATCATCATACATCTACACCTTCAACTTTTCACTTCCCTCTGCCCTCCCACCCCACACTACTTCTTTAATCATTCAGTATTTGTTAGATTTTTCATACTTTGATCATATATAAAATACTCTCTTTACATTTTTTTCTTCACCTTTATGTGTGTTCTCATCCTCCACTTGTCCTAAACCTTAAACTACAAGAATTTCTCAATATCACAGGAATAGTAGAGTTACTATTATTTTTGATTTTGATTTTGATAAATAATAGACAGCATAACCACATATTTTAATTTTTAAAATTTTGATTATGTTATTCAGGTTGTTCATAAATAAAAACCATGTATATCCTGTCAAAAAGCATAAACAATTATCTTTTTTCCATGTCCTTATTTATTTACATTTATTTATGATTTTTTGATTGTCAGCACAACGAGTGTAACCCCTCCCACCGTAAAATAATAGAACAAAAACAAATAACAAAAAACAAACTCTATTCATTTACAATCCCACTGAACACGTTATTGTCCATCCACTTCCATTAACATTTGACAGATAAAAACACACATCCATGTGTGATTACCAAAGTATTAATGATTATACATCTAGTATTTTTTTAAAAGAAAAAACATGTAATTCAAAACCACTTTAAGGTGTGATTTTATCAGTTTTGTTCATAAAACTCAACACAAAAGTTTTTTTTTGTTTTGTTTGATTTAATTATAATACTCCAAAAACCACAAACTTAAAAACACAACAAATATTTCTGTGTCTATGTAAATTTCACATATGGTACGTTACATTAAAAACAAAAAAATTAGTACAGTATATTTCATTTTCTTTTCCCCCCACATTTTTTTTTTCTTTTCTCTTTTTTCTGTTTTATTGTTATATTTTCTTTGTTTTTTATTTTTTAAAGTCAGTATTCACATCCATACCAAAGTGAGACACATCTCATGCCTGATAATAAACCATCATCTTCTCCCCCTCCCCATCCCACCCCTCAAAACCAACTAAACAAGAAATAAATCTGGCCACTTTAGTTTTTCCTCAATTCAACTATTGCCTACCATTTGTTACCGTATCAACCTCCTTCACACCACGCCTCATCAACGCAAATCTGTCACACTTTCTTCCATGTCATTTCTCTCTTGTTCCAGTTAGAAGTTTTTTTTTTTTTTTTTTTCCTTTTTTGTCTTTTTTCTCTCATTCTGATTTCTTCTTTTATTGTTAGGGAACTTTTTCATTGTTTTTTTTTGTTTTTTTTAAATTGGAACAGAGAGGGGGAGAGGGTTGATAGTAAGGGAGTGTTGGGGAGGGAGGGGGTGTTTAGTAAGGGGAATACCACGATGTTGTTCGCCCTCGGCCCCTGGAAAAGAGAGAGAAAAAGAGGGTGAGTTTTTTTCTGGTTGGCTTAAGAAGACGGAGACACCAATTTCCTGGTGTGATATAATAGATATGTGTGTGTGTGTGATCGTGGGCACAGAAAGGGTCTGCTGAAATTTCAGTCCAAGAAAAACTGAAGGGGAAAGAATATATTTATAGATACCAAAAAGTAATGACAGAATGTTTAGGACAGTGTTCACAAATCACTAAATAGACATACCATCTTAACGGTATTGTGCCTTTGATCTTACAAGGAGTTGCGTTACAACAGATCAATCTGGAAGAGTAGACTACAGTGCTGAAAGAAGCTGAAAGCAGCTTTGTAAAAGAGAGGAAAAGGGTTTATTTTCCAGATATTAGAATAATCAGTGTGTGGGTGTGAGGGGACAGCAAAGGCACTCTCTCTCCCTCTTTCTCTCTCTCTCCGTCTCTCTCTGCGAGAGCCACCTCTGGGGTCACTGTGGGGAAAGAGGACAAACAGCACCACACATATACCCCCAGCAAGACACGGTGCACACACACACACACACACGACAATTTGGGGGACAGGACTCACAACTGCATCATTATAATACACTCAAAACAATGCCCAACACATACAGGAGAAGCCAGGCAGCAGAAGCCACACATCATCCCCTCTCGTCACTCTCACACTCACACACCATTCATTGGCAACAAAACATAAAAAAGGTCACACTGGGACTGAAACCAGAGGTTGTTGGGCTAGATGCTGAGGTCAGGCTGCAGTAATGAACCCTCGTTTCTGGGAGTGAACGCTGTAAAGGTGAATCTGAGCTGGAATGTGTGTAGTGTATATGTGTTTGTATATGTGTGTGTGTGGGGGGGTGGGGGGAGGGAGATTTCCTGTACATGCAAGGGCATACACTCTACATAAGCAAAGGAAAAGCAAAAGGGTTGTTCCACATCACGAGTACAGTGCGCGCGCCTTCTGGCTCACATCAAAACCTCTGCTCTTCACCATGCCAACTTGGGAAGATGACGACAACAATGATGTTAATGGATGAAATACCAGACAATACTTTTTGCAACCAGAGGCCAATTTCTTAAGTGCGCTTAAACATGAATGATCATCTTTGGTTGTTGGCTTTCAGTCAAGGTGCAAGCATGAGGCAAGAGACAGAGGCCAATATTTGGCTGTGTTGTGCTTTAATACCATTAGTCTGGCAGATGAGGCACTACTTTAGCCTGCACAGACAACACTCGCCGTGGCCTTGTTAAATCTTAACTCTGTATAAACCGAGCCAGTCAACACTTGAGATACTTTAAAGAAACCTCTCTCTCGCACTGTGAAATCTTCCCAAGCACACAATGGGTCAATGCAGAGATGCCGAACTCTCGATGTGTTTTTCTTCACCATGGATGTGTTCCCACAACAAGACAAGGCACCAGTGAAAAGTGTTATTTGGTTCAAAACTGAGCCTGATTCTGTCCAACTGCAGCAGTCTGAAGTGGACTAGTGATGAATTCCTGATGTAGCAAAGCAAAACAGCCCTTCTGCTCTCCTCTGCAAGACGTGATGAAGGCCAGTTCAAGTGGAACAACAGTGTGCATGCTCTTCTCTGTGGGTGATTACATATTAACCAATGCTCTGAGATAATGGAAGATGCACTATGCAGTTATCAGTAATACCCTTGAGGCTGTTTTCTATTATTCTAAGTACAGTCGTACTATTGGCAACAGCAGAAATCAGTTCATGACCTTGAACTGCCAGGCTCAATCTGACTGCTAGTGAGCAGCTCATTCAAAACTTTAACTGTTCATTTGTGTAATTTGGATTGTTTAAGCCCGGCCCTTTGAGGTTAATGGACTTCTTTTGCCCTTCTGCTGGATGTGATGTCAAATCTTCACATAATTCAGTCAGGCAGAGCTTCAAAGATCAATCACAATCTCTCTCACCCACACATAAAATCCAACAAGCTAACTTAAAGCCTTTAAAGTCAAATGCAAACAATGCTAACAACCTCTCAGCTAGTAAACTAGCAATTAATACCAGTACTTCTTGATTTGATATTAAAACCCCCTCAGCTTCTCAGGTCTTTGTGTGCCTTGTCCTGCAGCTCGGGCCAGATCCCAGCGAGTAAACTGGCAGGGTTAGGGTTTCTTGGTATGTGTGGGAGTGGCTGGGGTGAGTACACAGAGTGATTCGAGAGATTCTGACCTTGAGGTTCAGACACTTTCTCACACAAAGGAATGAATAGAGATGTAACCCTTTCTTGTGGCTATTTAAAAAGGCGGCCTCGCTGGAATGGGAATTCACTGCACAAATACTCTAATCAAGAGCGAGGGCAGAATGTAACTAGAAAAACACCAGATAAAATTGACTAAATAGGGGCTTGACAGAAGAACTTGGCAAACTGTTAAGTCACTTAAATAACAACCTCTGCATGAAGGTTGTTATGTTCTTTCCAAAAGAACTGCTGCAGCACATTTCTTCTGGAAAATGTTCCTTGTTGAACATTAATAAGCGACAGCCAATGCCTGAAGGGTCCAGATGCTTTGCAGGGAGGATCAAATCAGAATCTCTCGGTCTCAAAGCTCAGTGCATGTGTGTGGAAGTTGGCATGCTGATCAACACATTTGGCACCACACCTCCTTTCTCATTCTCAACAGGGGAAAAAAAAAACAAGGCACAGATAGAGCTCTGTGGGGCTTATACGGAGTTTAAAGTGAGACTCTTTGTAGCCTTCAGTTCTCTCTCTCGCCACGGTTGACATACAGGGGCAGCACTGGGCTATGTTGTTCAATGACCTCAGATTATTTATGCATCATTGCATTTATAGAAACTGCAGCTCAAGGCAACTGCCAAGTATTTTAAAATCACATGCTGTAAACACTTAAAGTTTGCAGTGGCCAGCCCCATGTGGCCTAATAGAAACTAGACTACAAAGACTCACAGGACCCCCCTGCAGAGCTCTGAAGTGAAGCCCATTATAACACTGTAGGTTAAAAGCCACCAGGATCCCAGTGCACAAAACTGATCAACACCAGGCTGTTCAATAACCACTATTTAACAGCTCTTAAAAAAGAAACAAATAAGACTACAAGAAATGTCCAGCTGCAACAGGTTTCAAACAGTACAGACGGAGCAGCAGACACAACTGACAGGTCACTGATCTCAGAGCCCAAACCTCTCAGCTAAACAATAAATGGTCCAATTACAAATGACATCCAAATCTTTCCAAAATAAATGAAAAAACTGAAGTGTAGCTACCGGAGCTTGGCACCGGTAACTTTGGGTTATCATCAAGTAGCAGGAAATGGAACTGGCACTAACCCAAACACGGTGTGTGAACAGCCTGGGAAGAACAAACTGATGTGCACGGAGTCTGTTTGCCTCTATTGAAATGGTTCTGTGTAATGTGGCATGCAATGAGCCCCTCAGTCCCACAGCTGACAAGATGTGACTTCTAACCCACATGACATGTTTGTGCTCCTAGTGTTTCTATTAGTTAACACAATCTACACATCGCAATGAATTTGACACCCTGATGAAATATGGTTTCAATCTTAGACTAATTCTTTATACGGCTGTAATATTTACGGTGTATAGCCCTTTAGAAATGTTGCCTCTTTATTAACAATGCTCCCTGGCTCTCCTGTACTTACCTTAAACTATTCTACCTGGCAGTGAAAGAAGTTTGTTTTTCTACATCTCCATTCTCATCTCTTTTCTTCCTCAGTCTATCCAATCCTATCAATGTGAAAAAATTTCTCTTACACCATACTATCTGCCTATAACTAGAGTGAAAAAACCTAAATCTGGACACCAAGCGAAGTGACAAATGTCATCCACTGGGTAACTTTCAGACCTGCTTCCTTGTCCCCGTCTCCTTTTAGGACAATACAAGGAGGGGGTAGTGTAAAGCCCGGCTATGATTGAGGGCCAAAACCAGAAATATTGGTGTTTTCTGTAAAATAGTTTAACAGACCAACCCTGGTTTCCTCCTCAGCTGAATCCCTCATCTTACAACAAATATCAACAGCATTCATCATAACTTATCTACAGAAATCTTCAACACCAGCTGGTAATTCTGGCTGGTCATGTTAGTCTGCGTTGTTGGCCCTGTCCTTTCAGTGTGAACAGTAAGTGAGGTGCAGTGCATGCAGGTGTAGTGTTCTCCCACGGTGTCAGAAGTGAGACACCTCGGCGTCGGCTCACCTGAAGGCCCGTCCTCTGCCTCTGGGGGGTGTGTAGCCACTGTAGTAGCGTGCGCGTGATGAGAAGCTTCCTCCCCGTGACCGGAACCGAGCCCGTGGAAAGCCGCGGTCTGTGGTGCTGATGCCTGGTCTGTTTGTTCTCTTAGCGCCCACCTGAGGAGCAAAACACAAGCAAGGGACAGTTGAACGACGACATCCAGTCTTGTGGTTCTCAACTAAACAGCTTCTGTGTTCGGAGAATTAAAGACAATTTTGGAAATCTCTATTTAGGATATTTCAGTGGTTTTAATCAAGAAACAAGAATGAAGGCCACCATATATTTCTATGAGCACAAAGCAGACTATCCTCTCTGCCAGTTTGATGGCTGAGCGAAGTAGTTTTTGCCACCGTCACTCCAAACATCAGCATCAGATACATTTAGCCGACGGTGTTGACGCTGCAACTGTTTTGTTGTGGTAGTCACTGATTATTTCAGTTTCATTCTGTTCATTTTCTAAATGCACCCAGTAATCTGAGTTTGACAATTCACAATGATGAAGCCAGTTTCTGAAGACGAGGGATAATCTTGTTTATGCTTCTAATGGAGAGAAAATTAAACAGTCACGCTGCCCTTTCCTTATTTCCACACAGTGGTGTTACTTCTGTCATTCTGATCTGTTGCAATGTGAAAAGCTCCCAGTTGCACTCCGTGAAAACAGGGGAAAACGCTTACCTTTATCTGCCTTCCTCTGAAAAGGGACTCGTCCAAAGCCATGGCTGTCCTAACAGACTCTTTGTCTGCAAACTCAATATAGGCAAACCTGAAGGGGAAAAACAAATCATTCAACTACACAAGCAATGAAATGCAAACAGAAAGCACCAACATGCAACTAGCCTCTTGATTTATTACAGATATCTAAATAGAAAATGAAAATGTAGATTGTACATTTTAAAAAGAACAAATCGCCTTCAACCATTCAGCTGTAGTGCAATGTTATTTGTCCTGGTGCTTAATAAAATCTGTCCACCCACAGTGGGACTTTCTGTTACTTGTCAGCCAACAGTGGGACTTTGTTACATTATCCGCACATCACTGTGATAACTGCCTCTTCACTCATTTTTCCACTGCATAGTGAAAAGTACACAATGGTTTATTACCCCTTGGGATGCCCTGTGTATTTGTCACATAGGATGGTGACTCTGTTTACTGAACCGCAGCCATGAAAATGAGCCTCAAGCTCTTCCGCCGTGGCACCGTAGTCCACCTGAAGAAAGAGATGATAGATGTTAGGCATTGAGAGAGCTGCAGCACCAGTAGCTGAGCACGGCCACTTAAAAAGATTTCATTTATTTTCATCCGCTTATGCTTCAACATTTACATTTTAATGTACGCCTGGAGATTCAAAGTTAAATGTTTACGTCAGTTATAATGTACTAAATAAGACATAAAAGACAGATAGAGATGGATACAAACCACGTTTTAAATAAAGAGGCTGAGGCATAAAAACATGGAAACTCAATTATCAAGTTCAGTGACTATAAAAAAAAAAAAAGTATTTACCCCCTTGGAGTTTCTACAACATGAAATCAACGTATAATTAAGATTTGACACTGAACCAGGTCAAATGTCTTTGACAAACTGAATCAAATGTTTCTACAACGTGTTCAAATCAAAACCAAACATCCAACAACCATTGTATTCAGCCCAGTAATCATTATAGCTGTGGGCTGTTTTATATGAGTCACGTAGTGAATAGAGTGAGATCACCAATGTGCATCGAGGTGGGATCTTTGGGTTAACTTTACTTGCATTTGTAGGGTCAAACTGCTTATTAGTACATTTTCTAAAAACAACTTAATCATGAAAACAAAGGAACATTTAAAACACAAGTGGGAGTGAATGTCCCTTACAGCTCAGTGAGGTTAATCCCCCCCAAAAATGGGAAGAATATGGCACAGCTTTAATTCTGTCTATAGCTGGCTGACCTAAAAGTGTGGCACCAGTGTGGGAGGCCACGGAAAGATCTCCACTTGTAGCTTTACAGCAGAGAGGCAAAGAGAAGGCCATTGTTAGCTAGAAAATACACAGGAGACACTGAAAGTAAAAGTTGGTTCTATGTTCTTATAAAACTGATCAACTGTGGTCATCATACTACATGTTGTTTGACATAACTAAAACAATGCACTTGGGACTCATTTTCCAGCAAGACCACAGCCCAAATTTGATGCTAAAACTAAAAAGTCATGAAATCTGTCATGTAAAGCACCCTGTGTCTTCAACAGTGCTGTGAATACTTAAAAACAACAATATCAAAGTCCTGGAGTGACCATGATCCTAATCAAATCAACCATTTGTGGCAGGACTTAAATTACTTTTCATTCAGTAATCTTGTTAGTTCAAATTTGATGCACACAGCTGATACAAATCTTCAGACTCAGAAAAGAAGTCCAAGGGGGGGGGGGGGGGG